TCCATTTGCTTTCGTTCGATTCGGACACGGCCAAAATTGGGTTTTTTGTTGTCATTGGTTTAAACAAATATTGTATGGCCTTTTGTAGATGCGTTAATGTTTTAGAAACATTCTAGCTATTTTTAGAATATTTGATATTTTCGAGTTTTCATGTGTACTTTTATTTGATAAGTAATTTTTGTTAAAATTATACGACTAAAGAGAAATTATTGAAAATTTAACACAAGGTACATTACAAGTTGCATTTAGTGGGCTAAAAAACAAATTTTAGATCAATGCATTAATTTTTTTTTTTTTTATAAATGTTTTAAGAACAAACTTTTACGAAAATCTTAAAAATTACATTTTAAAATATATCTTAACGATAATCGCTCCGAATGATTTTTCGTTAGCAATGGTTTATTGTTGCACACAAATAAAACTTAAAGAACCTTATGTATCCTACTTTCCCAACTTCCCACCAACAACAGTGGCTTCATCCATTCTTGGTATTAGCCCGTTTAGATTCAAAGCGTACGTACTGAGGAATGTATTGGTTTTACAATGATATTAAATTTTAAAATAATTATTTTTTTTATCTGTGAATAACTTTTCTACCCGTAACCTTGCTACGATTTTCAATTATAGCATTTTCTGAGAGGAAATTTGACTAGGGCGGTACTTTAGGAACTAGAGACGTCATTTTTCGATTTTCCCAGCCGTTTGCATTATACCTGTATGGGAAAAACGAGAAAATAAGTACAATATTGTAACGCCATGTTGTATAACATAATACAAGACGCGATTCAAATAATTTTTATGATCTTATATATTACCAGTAAATCCTACACCTTATGGGTGTCCACTCGAGGGGTAAGTGAGGTTCGTTCTGATGGCCTGTGGTACCCTTATGATGGCCGCTCCTCCCTGGTGATAATGTTATTCACGGGCACACGCTACACTTGACTATGGTGTTCCACATCCGATTCACCGTAGTCCACCACTATTGCCCGACTCGCAACTCTCTGCCGCTTTCCTATTGCCGAACTCCGGGCGCGCGCCTAAAACCCATAGTAAGCATTTCGCCGTCCATTCCCCCTCGCCCATGACTGTACACGTAATACTAACCTCGCACCACCACACAGTGGGGTATCATTAAAATATTAAACAAATATTACTAAAGAAAATATATTATGCACAGGTATGTGATTATTTTTAATTGTATGTCCATTTTTGAGGTTATCATAGATATTTTAATTTTGCGAGTTTATACGTTATTATTATTCGGTAGGGTACTCTGTAGATGAAATTGTTGGACTGAACAGAAATTCTTGAATATTTAATAGGAGATTCCTTAAAATTCATATATTATAATAAAAAAAAAAAAAAAAAACTAAGCTTAATGTAGTATTCAATTTCATAAAAAATTTTAGTATCCAATTTTGATGAAAATCATTGAAGTAAATATTTTGTCGAAACAAATCTATTTACTCGTCAATGCAAATTTAAAAATTTTTTTTAGTTTCGATAATATGAAAATGTCTATTGTCGATTTCAGAACCATAGTGAAATCAGAATTGATCGATATAGTTTCGAAATTAAAACTTTTTGAAGTTCCGAAATTTTATGTGTAATGTGCTTTTATATGAATATTGTCAATTTTATATTATATATTTTGTCGTAGTTTAATTGTTTAAACCTATTGTCATCTCAGGGATCGCAAGTTCAAACCCGAGTTTCGAAAATTTGTATTTGCAAACGTCGGATAGTTAACAACGAAAACACAAATGTATTTTTTCAAAAAATTAAATTGAGTAATGTGTATTTATTATTATTTTTTTTTTTTATGAAAGTAAAAATACATTTTTGACGAAAATCTTAAATATTACAGTCTTTCAAAACATGTAAAACCAAATTTCGCACTGAATTGATTTTCGTTATCAATGGTTACAAGTATAGATTAAATAACTTTATGTATTCCACCTTCTCCACTACCCACCTACGACAGTGGCCGCATCGCTTCATAAGAAGAATTTTTTTTTTTTTTATGAAATTTAATTTAAAATATTCGTAGAGACTTGAAATTTGGGCAGAAAACTAGTGTTTATCTTTTCTAGAGAGAAGCCCCAACAAGTTTTTCATTGGAAACAGAATATGAACAACAATACAAGGTTTCAAAATTGATATCCTTCCCCCTCAAATAGAAATTATCCAGCTACGTATCTGAACGGCTATTTCATTAACCAATCAACAACTTAGGGATGTAGAAAAAACAATTATTTTTGTTACATGATTAAAACGTATATGTATTGAACATGAAAAAAAAAAATTCATTAACCAAAATTACTAGAAACTATGTAAATACTTATTCATTCTTCAGGACATTAATTATTTCATAAAACACTTCACGACACTGGAGCTGATGTGTGTATAATGTATTGTATTATAATTTATATTGGTCCTGTCACGGAAGAAATGCAAACCAGTTGGCACACGGTAAGTTTGTATACGAAAAATTGCAACAGTATATCTATAAATATAATTCAATAATTTTTCGTCAAAGACGAACACCAAATACCTGTATGTATCGCTTTAGTAAAGTAAAACTTAAAGTTTGATCGTTTCAAATAAAATACTGTAATCAAAATCAAGGAGAATATAACATCGCAGAATATATTCTACGAAATTTGGTTGTAAATAAAACCGTAGATAATATATGATTAATAATCACTTATCAATAAATATTATTATGATAAAACAGAATAAAAACCTTTCAACAAATTACGCTTTAAATAATAATACATCTGTTATCAGCAGTACACAGTTTTAATCCCCTGTAAATATGTTTTTTGGGAACTGATACATTCTGCTTAACGCAGTTTTAGTTCCGATTCTTCTTCTTCTCCTTTGCGTTCATCCCGACTATTTGATATCAGCCACCCTTATCTTAAACTTTCACTTGATCTGATATCCCACGGCACATACACATACCAGCTGTCCTCATACATCATTCTCATCGTTTACAACCGCCTCTTTTTTGGCATTTTTCTGGATCTGGTTTTTAATTTACTAACTTAACTCAACCCTAACCAAACTTCATAAGATACGGTTCTGGTTCCGGTTTCAATTTTAAGGTTTTCTATTCGGTTCGGTCCCAGTCTCTGACAGCACTGCGGTCACCAGTGAAGGTCACTATTATTTCGTCTTAGTTTCTCCTCGAAATCTCAAAATTCACGCTGTCGATCTCTGTTGTAGATACACAATAGGATAATATAAAATTATTTGTTCACAAATTTAATTCATTTACAAGCATAACAATATAACTATTATTATATGATTCAAATTTATCGTATAAGGCGTATTATTGTTCGTATTGGAGTGTTGTTTTAGCATATTGTAATTTTTTTTTTTTGTTGCTCGTTCAAGCCACATGGCTCGTAAATGTATTATTATTATGTTATTTTGCATAATTTCATTTTTCGACACTGATAATTTAATTAGTCGGTAATAACTCACTGCCTTTCTCGTTAACGATATCATATATGTTAATTTATAATAATTAATTATAAACAAAATCATTACTGTGTGTGTGTGTGTGTGTATGTGTGTGCATAATGTGTATAGGTACCTACTTACGACATTGCAACATAGTAGGTAATCTTATTAGTAATATTATTATGTGCAAGCGATATATGGTAACGCGTAGTGCGCTCTAGTGTATCGGTCGTCATACTATAGTTAATACTTGCCGACGTGCGTGAAAAGATGGCGCGACTGACTAGCATTTACTTATTATTCATGGTTATCCTATAATGTATAGAAATTTAAACAAAAACCATATCCTTATCAAGAAGCCTGTTTACAATCTCGAAATGTTGCGCAAGGATAACTAAACATTTATTTAGATAATTATGAAAGATAACAGGGCACAATTTATTTATATACAGATAAAAGATAATTAAAATCTAAGTTATCCAGATAAAGGATATACCACTATTCGGATTAAAAAAAAAGAAAAACAACTTTGTTGTCAACATTATGTATGTTAACAACATTTTTTTTCAAATATTAAAATATAAAACATGAATACAGTCAGGTATCCCCCCTTCCGGGAGACATACCTAAAAAAAAAACCCGATTAATATATCAAAAAAAAATAGTAACGTTTATATAGACCAATAATATTTTGGGAAATCTATGCATTTTAGATTCTGGATGTAGCGAAGTTTAAACCGTTTTTGAGTAATTTTTATTCGGTAAGTACTGTGTGGTAAAATTGTTAGGTGAACATTTAAAAGGAGCAACATATAAGTCTTGATTTTTAGTCAAAAATGAAAATTTGAGTTTAATATAGTATTTTTTTTTTTTTATAAAGGAATTTTAATACCAAATTTTGACAAAAAACGTATGAGAAAAAAATTATGTTAAACAAACTTAATTTGTTAATTTTTTTTTTTTTTTTAACAAATGACGTATATTGCCGATTTAAGAACGATGATGAAGTCAGAATTGAGTGGACTAAGTTTCGAAATTTCTAAAATTAAAAACAAGTAGGTCGGTGTAGCAAGTGATCTTCCACACAATTGTAATTCAAATTCATTTTTTGTTATTTGTTTAGTATTATAAAAATAAATCGAATTGTCAAATAAGAATGAATATTAAAGTAGAACTTTTCAGTGAAAACTATATGCTAAAATGGCAGCGCCGAAAAATTCCATTTCCAACAAATATACACAGCTGTCTTGTCGTTGACTAGCGTAACGACATTAAACTTATATTTCTACTTTCATCAGAATTAAGCATACCTATAAAAAAAACATTATGTAATAATTGAAAGACATATAATATAATAATGATATGGTTTTTTTACTCCTACAACGAAAACATTTACAGATAATCGTTGCAAAAATATGTATACAATTCGACAAACCACTACTATAACTAGGATAAAGACACCAGTGAATTCCGCCATGCCAATAATAAACACAAAAAATAATTCAAATACATTTAAGTAATAATGACATTAATCAAACATACCATTTCACAAATTGACGAATACCGTATATACAAATGATTGTGACACACACCAGTAGCTTATTTTTTCTAATAAATATAATGTGATTTCATTATGAAAAAGTACGTATTAGGATAACGGAGACGGGTGCAGACTCTGTTATAGGTAATTCAATGTATACCTGTAAGCAATGATCAACCATTGCTTACGAAAAAACGATTCTAAGCGGAGTTCAGTTGATAGTGATGCTTTGTCAATCATATATATGCCGTATTATAGTAAAATAATGAAGTAGGCTCTGTATATTTTCTTTGACAGTATTTTTTTTAATGTTGTACTGATTTCCGCGGTTTTCCTATGTTTTTTTTCCGACTTTCAAAATTACTAAGAAAACTCTTGAAAAAATAGAAAGGTAAAGTACTCTCTAAAGTACCTCACCAGTGAAATTTCCTTTTAGAAATATTGCTATCATTATAAGTCGGAGCAAAATTCCTGGTAGAAAAGTTGTTCACAGGAAAACAGAAGGCCTCTTAGAATCATTTTTCGTTAGCAATGATTTATTGTTGCTTACAAATACAAAATTAATTTCAACTTTACATCCTAAATTCCCAGCTTCTAAACAAAAACAACGGTTGCACCCATCATGCGAAATATGTCCGGCTTTTTTTCATTGTTGTTTTCGTGCACGCCGAATATATTTTAAAAGTACGATTGTGTATAAATAAATAATTTTTAAGCATATTAGTTAATAATACGCACAAATAAATATTATATGTAAAAAAAAAAAATCCATGTATTGTACTCAAAATTTATAAGTGTATAACAACAAACAATTAATAACTAAAAAAATTAAGTTAAATTTACGAAATTAATACTTTTATCATAACGAAAAAAAAACGATATCGTTAAATTTTAACTTATCAATAATAATTCTATTAAGGAAACATATTTCCTTTTGTGCAGAGAAAATCATAATATATTATTTTCACATTCATCATAATTGATAATACACGTTTAGAAAAACGAAAACGACAGATTTTCATTCTACTCGAATAACTTAAAGTAATAGAATATAAACAATAGTATCGTTAAGTAAATAATTGTATTATATTCCTATCGTTCCTGCTACAATCATATAATATTAATAATTTAGTATAATGTAGGTATACCTAACTTAAAACAAAAATAATATTATCAATAAATAATTATGAATAAACACAAAATATCACAACGTAGAAATAATAAAAAGTTTGGTTGAAAATTTTAAAATAAGTAGAGTAATAATGGTTCCGTCAACAATAATTTAGAAACGATCAAATACGTGAGTTTATATAAGTACAACACTTGGTTATCGTCGCGCGGTTATCGTTCCCGTAATAATTAGAATATTATTATCTCAGTTTTCAATATATTTTTTAAATTTGTATAATACTGCAGGTATGTGTGAAATAATAATATTCCGAGAACAATAGACCGTACGCGTTTATAATAAGTAAAAAAAAAAGAAAAAAGAAAAAAAAAAGAATACATAATAATGATACATTGTTCACGACAGTCAGTTTTTTAATATTATTTTATTTGTTTAACGGAATGTTCTGACCATCAACAGCGAGTTTTATAATTTTCCACTGGAAATTATAGTTCCGTTGATCGCGGGTTTTTTCTTGGACCCGTCCCGTTGCTTTTGGCCCTCGACGCTGTGCGTCGTACTGTAAAACACGTAAATCAAGAATCCGATGGACAGCCAAATGCCGAACCGGATCCAAGTGTGCACGTCCAATTTCATCATCAAGTAAATGTTCAAAAGAATACTTAGGCAAGGTATGAGCGGAACGAGAGGTACCTGCGGCACAATATAGGTATACATGAACGGAAATACGAAACGATGTGCCTGACGGCGATGAAAAATTTAAAAAAAAAAAAAAAAAAAAACAACCTTTGATAAATATTATAAGCAGTCAATGGGTATCTTACCTTGAACGATAACTCTTTGGTGGACTGCGGTTGTCGGGCCAGCAACAGAATTAACAGTAACAGTCCAATGCCAAAAATGGCGGTCGTGTATAATGCCAAACTGCTGGCGGGCTGGTCGCCCTCTAGTCGGACCACCATAAAACAGAACACTGCCGATACACAAACTGTATTGACAGACGGACACATTACAAATCGGGAAACCAAAGTTTGAGGCGACATTAAAATCGAGTTTTCATCGAAAACAGAGACTACTGCAGTGTGTCGTGTCAATTGGGTATACACAGTAATTTTGGTATCCGGTCGTTATGGCTAAACGTTTTCGGCGAACGGATATTTCGATGAAACGATTTATTTATTTGGAGTAAAAATAATACAAAACAAGAGCTTGTTACTGGGTACGGGTGTGCCACTGGTATAAGTGGAAACTTAGGACAATAGGATGCATAAAGTAATTTCATTGTTGTTGATACGCAACGATAAACTATTGCGAATGAAAAACAATCCGGAGCGAAAATCGGCAAGACATGTTTTATAATGTGTTTTCAAAACGAAGTGTAAACAAATCGACAAATAAGTATAGACAAAACTATCTGGTGCAATGTTGCCATGAACATTATAACGATAACGTCCGGCCGAACGAATATTGTTACTGGGATTTGGATTGATAGTATTATTTTCGGAGATTATATAACGTGAAAGACATAAAAATTCGACGTATAAGTAAAGACAATATTGTTTGATTTTTGCTTCAAATAAATAAATTGTTTCGTCGAATTACATTTCGCCAAGATGTCCTAAATCCGGGTTATGCACGGTTGTGCTAACCTAAAAAGCCACCGTCTTTTCGTAACAATGTGGAGAAATTCATATTGAAATTCGACCAGCATTTTTTCACTTCAAACCGACTATATAAAAAACTATAAATCCCGAGTTCGAGTCCAATTTTTCGGAGGAAAGCACTAAGAAGCGTCTAAGAAAAACGGCAAAAAAGGTAGGATTTAGGATATTTTTTTCTTTATTGTTACGAGAGAACAAGGGGAATGATAAATTGTAAATGTACCGTGTAAGTATTTGCACAGCCTCGAGGCTGTGATTTTCGGTGGTTTCAACTTTGAACCCCTCCTCAACGATTTTTAAGTTCAAATTGTATATTTTAACGGGAAATACGGGGACTAAAATGTAACACAACTATGGCAAATATTGTAACAAGTGGACTGAGAGAAAATAAGACTCTAATGACGCTGTTTACGTAGTTTTTATGTTCACATACTATAAAACATCGTGACGGTCTTCGACACGGATTCGGTGTCTTCGTTAGCGTATTTAATGTTGGACAAATTCAAATATCGCATAGTGGTTTTCATGACCGTTTCGACGAAGCTATTATTTTCGGCACCATCGGTTCCATTGATCGTGAACTCCACGCCCGAATCGTTTTTGTATCGTAAAACCAGCACGCAAATACACACAATCGAATACGCCAATAATGTACCGATGGACATCATATCGATCAGTTGTTCCAGATTGAAAAGCGCGGCCATAATACCTGAAAAAAAAAATAAATAATAATAATACAATTCTATTTATAACTAACTAATATTATGATTAACTAATATTATTATTATTATATTAAAAATGCATGTTTAAAACATATACATTTGCTTACTGTTCAAAACGACAATATTAAAAAAAAAAAAAAATGTATTTTTGCAACTTTGATAGTGTTACAGCGAAGAAACTCTTAATACATCACGCATAATAATATTATTATTTTTACCTGCTAGAAGACCAGATAGCAGAGTGGCCAACACCGGAGTATGATATTTCGGATGAATATCCGCGAATATGCGAAACAATAGACCGTCGCAGGACATAGCGTACAGAATCCTCGGTAACGGAAACATGGTTCCTATAAGACTACACAAAAAAACCGGTTATACTTCGCTCCATTTGTGTGCCACTGTTTTAATCGTGGAAAGTCGGAAATGTTGGATACAGAGGGTAATTAAATTTATATCCATATGCAATGATAAATCATTGTTACAACGCAAAATTATTCTGAGTGATGTTTGGTTAAACATGTTTTGACAACCTTAAATTGAAATATTATTATTATTCATTTGTAACGAAAAAATTAATCACAATTGTCTGCATTTTTTCGTCTTGAATTCTTGACCATTTGTATGGTACTAAAACAGTTTTATCTACATAATTCATGATATAATATTATTCGTATACGAAATCTGTGATTTTTACGATTTTCGTTAGAATTTTAATTTAAAAAAAAAAAAAAACGAGTACGGACTTTTGATATTCATATGGACAAAAGTATTAAAATAATCGAATATTTCAAGCAATTAAAAATAACTCAAAATCGTTAGAATGCTTTTAAAATAGTATTGTGTCTAGAAACTTGTAATATTATCATACGAATTTTATATAATATTCGGTGAAAATCAGAGCCGGATCTTGAACTCTGAAGGCTTTGGAGCAAAAGAAAATTTAGAGGCTCTTAATTTAATTTTTTTTTTTTTATTAAAAACCATCTAGTATACAACCCAACAGTTACAAAATAATAAAGTACACAGTATAATAAAATTAATCGTATATTAAGCCAAATAGTCATAATGTTAAAAATAAAAAAAGGATGGACATACTTCGCACGTGGGCGCAGCCACTGTTGTAGGTGGAAAGTTGGGAAGGTAGGATACAGACGGGAATTTAATGTATATCTGATAAACGATAAACCATTGCTAACGAAAAAACGATTCTGAGCAGAGTTCAGTCGATAGTGTGGCTTTGTCAACAATATATGTTATATTATGGTAAAATTATTACAATATGCGATTCCATGACAACAATGATTGTTTAAAAATATTAAAATAATGAAAATAACAAAAAATAAATTAAAACGATTGCCAATGACAACCTTATTTTTAATCTATCAAATATTTGTTTATCTAAAGAACCAGGTTTTCCTCACTGTCTCGAATATTAATAAGAATTTCAAAAAATTATCTCTCTAAAACACTACTCAGAAAAGGTACTATACATAATAATCGGAGTATGCTTTCCGATAAAAAATGTATTCAGATAAAAAAAAAAAACCCAATAAACATTATTGTAAAACCAATACATTCCTCGCTCCTCTCAGAATCTAAAACAATTTAAAACATACTAATTGTGTAGTTACCTCGTGAACAAAGCGAAAATGGCGCCGGAAGAAACGATCCATTTTATTGTCGTCCAACCAAGATGATCGTAGACAAACGGGAATGGCGCGTCCGCATCCTACAAGAAAGTTAATTTATATTTTTAAATTTAATAACATTTTTTTTAAATTTTATTTTATAGAATTGGTCAATAATTTTACCTGTTTATAATACGGCCACATGAGTGTCAAAACCGAGCTGATACCACAATACGCGAACGTAATGATGGTCAATGATAGAACGATAGCCAACGGAATGTCTCGTTTCGGCCTTTTAGCTTCTTCTCCTATAGTTTACCAATATATATAAATAATCGATTACATTTTTTTCGAATGCATTATTAGTTTATACAAGTATAATTAAGTCGGAGAAAATATTATACCAATTATTTACCTAACGCAGTGGTTATTTTTCAGACTTTCTGTAGTAAACCTATTTATTTGAGTTTGATATGTACAAGGCGTTGCCGGAAATTAAAAATGTCAACACCAAAATTTATTTCAACTAAAATGCCATATATTTATGATATTTTGATGTAAGTTGCAATTTAAAAATTAAAAGTGAGTGGTTTCAGCCCTAAAAATAAGTATAACAAAATATAATGGTAATGTAGCCTATTATAGCAATTTATTTTATTGGTTGTTTGAAAAATAATAATTCTAAAAAAGAAACTATTCTCAGAAGATAATGATGTGTGCACTATCGAGGATCGATTACACTATAAATAAAAAAATTGAGTTGCAGGTGCATATTTCAAATTTCCATAAAGCATATTTGTGATTTCTTAGCACACAAGGGGTATCGTAGTGTACACTACCGGATTAAACAACAAAAAACCACCGGAGGAAAAATGTTGAACAATTCGTTATTATTATTGCTTACGGTAAATTACTAAATTGATATTTATTTGTTTATTTTTTTTAAATTTTTTTATCGGTACTAACCCGTAGTAGCTACGGTGTCGAAACCGATAAACCCATAGAAACATTTCGCAGCTCCCGCTGTCACACCGGCCCATCCGTAGGGCATGAATCCGCCTTCGCCACCTTTTGCGTCTTTCGGGATATCTTGTTTCGGTATATTCCAGTTGTACGAATTGACTATAACGGTAACAAAAATAATAATAATAATAAATAACACAGTCTGTTACTATTGGCATGTGGAATATAAAAAAAATATTTAAACAAATCCGCACAATTATTAATAATATATTAAATCAGTTTCTGTCGTAGTTCTTCGGTCGACATTGCAGAGTCGACTAATAGTAAATATAGGCAAGGTAAATAATCCGGATTAACCGTCAGGGTGATCCATTATAATATTTTACATCAAGCGTCTAAGCGGAGATTTTTTGAAAATTTAACATTAATGACTTAGAGCGCGTAATCGAGAAGAGTATGATCGACATGGTCGAAAAAAAGGCCAAATTCGAAGATTGAACGCGAAATATTGATTCGTCCAAAATGTATATCATATTGCTCAGACAATCGCGGTGTTCGTAGTAAATTCCGGTATTACATACGGATCAATTGAAAACAACGAGAACGCTATATCCAGTACATTTCGACAATCTCACGATTTTTACCGCGTTTTCCACTTTTTAGTTAATAATGTTTGTATACGTCATAGTGATACATTATCGGTCACCGTGACCTAATAAACAAACCTAGGGACAAAACACTATTTGGGTTCGAGGTCAGTGAGTGGCTGCGTTAGGCCGTACCCAACATTTGCGGATCTACGAGGTGTATCGGTTGTGCCGTGGCAAGTCCTAATGTAAAAATAAAACTAATGGATAACAAATAATAATAAACATTATGTTTCCCGTTTTTCCTCATTCTTTTTTGGTTTTTCACATTTGTAGATAAAACTCCTGAGAAAATCGAAAATTAACCTCCTTTAAGTACTTCCCCAGTCAAATTCCCTTTTTGAAAAATTGTTATCGTTATAAATTGGAGCTAAATTGCTGGTAGAAAAGTTGTTCACAGAAAAAAAAAAACTTCGTAGTAAAACTATAAGTTTCTTTGTTCCACTCAGAATGTAAAATAACTACATAGCAGGCTGGGCACACTCAAATGTAAAATTCCAGGTCCGCCTATGGTCCTCAATATATTATAATTCACGAGTGCTTGCGGACCCGAGTGGTTATATTTTTATAATGCTAGTAAATTGCGTTTTACGTACTCAGATTTTCCATCGTGACGTGTTTATTATTAATTTACTAGTATCCACGTGTTCCCACAGGATACACATATCAATTAGTATCACGGATAATATATTGGACAACAAAAAAATAAAAAACTAGCCGACAAAACTCGTTTACGCAGTTAGATGACGCCGCGTCGTATAACCAATGCCATCACGTTATGTGTTCATAATTTCAGATTTGTTTACATATCGCTTATATTGGTCATAACTCAACCGGTGACGGCATTTATGAATATTTACTCATTCAGATTTTTCGGAGGTGACATTATTTCGCATCCATTGATAACGTACAAAAATATCAAAATAAATATACTAGTACATATTTCAATTTCTGTATAGGGTAATTTATTTAAAATATTTTTTTTTTTTCTGTATTTTTTTTTGTTGCATTTTGGATCTGTAGTTGGTGCATTGACAGGTTATTGTTTTAATTTATTCATAATAGTTACAAAAATGTTTCGAGAACCAAGTCATAGAAAACACGCGGATGGATATTTATGACGCGCCGCGCCGCCGCGACGCTACCGATTACATTAGTTCAAATTTTTAACATTAATGTTTTCTACCACACATTTTGCTTTGATCGAATAGAGGAAAAGCTAATTTTTTCTGTTTTTCTTTCTGAAAATGAGCGGAAAAATTCCCGCCAAGTTCGCGCACGTATGCGAATTTAGAAAATAAATATCCATTAACGTTCAAGAGCTTATATGTATTTTACTTTCTATAGCGATTTATTGGGTTATACAAATAGGATGTGTTTGTAATGATAACACGGTACTCGTATGTTTCGCATAATTATTATTCAAATCATTTAGTACCAGCTATCTCGTGCAATAAAATAACATAATATTATATTATTTACAGTGCTCAACTTGAACGGGTACCACTCGTGTTAATTTAGGTATAGCATGTAGCGAATATCTATTTACACATCCCGTGCAGACCGCCACATGTGACGTAATTGGGAACGGTCGCGGGAGAGTTTCGCGACACGGAATCCGACTACAGTCCGACCGGGACATAAGATATCAGTCATATAATAATGCGTTCGTATCATAAAATAACAATAATTACTATTGCGTTACTAACTGAGTAGAAAAAAATTCTGAGACAAAAAAATTCTAAATAAAAAAAAAAAAAAACCGATTTATTACCTAATATATTATATGGGCCGTAATATCGCGGGATTAATATAATATAGTTATATGAAAATATTATCTGCAGTATTTCGTAGTTTTTACTGATATGGTATCGTAGGATTAAAGGCTATTTCTATCATCTGTATAGTATAATGTAACTTTGTTTTCTAATGAACCGCGGTTTTTATGACAAACGTAAAATAGCATGAAAACCGTATATGTAAACGTTAAAAAAAAAAAGCCTCTGCGACGGCAAAATGTGTTAGTTTTTCGTGACTCTGAATAGTGCAGCGTAGATGCTAACTGTTTTCTTTTTTAGAAAACGCTTTTTTGGTTAGTAAAAATTCTTCGATTTTTTCACGCGAAATTTTATCATACGCGGATTTTTCACCCGGTGTTACTCTATTGAGAGGATTTTCCGAAATTTTCAACAATTTTTCTGAAAAATTACAAAAAAAACTGACAACCAATGAGAATACATTTTTTTTTATTTTTTTCGATTTTTGGGTCATATCGGCTGCATGTGGAATAAACATGATTAATATTAGAACCTTACCAATTTATCGAGCTCCGTTTTGATTTCAATGATTAATCATTGCTTTCTGTACACAAACTATAAATTAACCTATGTTCCATACTTTACAAATATCTCGTCTACAATTCACAATACAAAATACACTCGGTTTTTTAATTTTCATACCCAGGGATGGGTAATAATCAGTTGCATGTATTAAAGTTATGTAACTCAGTTACTTTTGTAACTTGTAACTTGTAAAGAGTTACACAATTTTCAAGAAATATTTGATTATAAAGAGTTAAAACATATTTTGTAACTTCTAAAAATAGATACACGTAACTTAAGTTACAAAAATCATCTTGTATCATTATTTTGTACGGTACTAATCAATTTTAATTCAATGTGTGATAATAGCGGAACAATACGAGTAAAATCACTTATCATTTACAAGTTATGTTATCAATAATTATAATATTTATAAGTTATAATATATTAGCTTTAACTTGTAACTAATACCCAATTACACTATCCCTGTCCATATCAAATAAATATAAATAACGTTTAATGACATGGTTGTACAATGCGTTAGGTACCTTTGAATAGTCCGCTTATGATAACCGTAGCCACAGTACATAAATTGACGACCGTAAATATGTTGTTGATAATTGTGGATTCACGTACTCCCCAAGACAGCAAAACTGTGTAAAATAATAACAATCGTATGGCATAAACAATGTTTAATTAGTTATTATAATTATTTACTCACTCGATAACAATAAAACGACGCTGAACGCCAAAAAGTCCGGATAGGTGGCCATAAAACTGACATGTATCGGACAAAGTGAAAGCATTGTTTTTTGAATCGGGTAATCGAACAACGCGTCCACGTAGTTACTGAGACCTTTGGCGACACTTGCTGTACCTGTATATTAGCGTTAAATAAGTTTTTCATTTTTCAGGATAAATAAAAATATTCATATTGAAGAGGATGAGCGGGTCTGTGTACATCTTGATGCTCCTAATTCCTTTTTTTTCTCGTGTATTTAAACAACTTTTTTTACTTTTTTAATTGTATAGGGACTTTTTTGTAGCGGTTATGATCTAGGCAGTACATTGAGAAAATCATTTTCCCCATTCTCCTTGTAGTTTTCTTAATAAATGGAAAAACTAGTAATTTGTTGGTCTCATAATTTGTATTGGTTTCTAAATTATCAAAAAGCGAAATAATACGACTAATATTACTCTGCTCAAAATCGTTTTTCGTTAGTAATAGTATATAGTTGCACACAGACACAAATTAAATCACTCTGTATAATATAAAGATATAATATTATATCAATCCATCCAACTTCCCTACTAAAACAGTGACACAGTGTCATCAGCTGTATCAGTTTTTCTTTCTTTAATCTGGCTATCGATCTATGTATATAATATATGCAGTGCGTAGTCTGTAGACTATCACCCGTTCAGTTATATTCCGAAACACACAAAACGCATTTTGAAAACACATTTGTATATTAAGAGTTCTTAATGCTATACTTGTATAAGATTTAAATAAAACATACATTTCGGAATAATCGCTAATCACAATAAATATACCAGGAATCTATATATTTGCATATACCTTACAAGAATTAGAAAAAAATTTTAAAAACTAGAAAAACCTGAAACTCGGCCAGAAGAATGTAGAATAAGTCGATGAATAGTTTGATGTAATAGTTTTATGAAAAAATAATCATGTGGATATAAAAGTCTCTGACTTCGCGTGAAAGTGCGAAAATCTTGAAACTTGCGTAAATGGAATTTTGAGCATCGCGGATTTTAAATTTTTTTTTTTATTTTTCAACGCTTTCGACCAGCCGTCCCGACGACAACGACAACGGCGCGGCTTTTATATTTACTAAGGTTTCATCGGAATTTATTTTACTTTCTTTTAACAACGTATAAATCAACATCACCACAGCCAATATGTTCCCTTTACTTACCGATGACATATTCGAGTATCAGATTCCACCCAATGACGAACGCAACGAATTCGCCCACACCAACGTAACTGTAAACGTACGCTGATCCAGCTCTCGGCACGCGAGCAGCGAACTCGGCGTAACACAGGCCTGCAAAATAATGTAGGAAAATTACTCATCATTGTAAAACAAATTCGTTACTTTGGATGTTTCCTGCTGGCGGGATATTTTTATAAATTGTTAACATCTACAGTTAGAATTTGTTAAAATAAATTTTAATTGTTGTACTAAAGGGCATGCGTATGATTTGGTATTTATTTTGCTCAAAACATGGTTTATAGGATTAACTTTACTACCTCGTAAAGACGTTTGGTTTCGATGTTTATTATTATTATTATCATATTTTTCATTCAAAGAGAGAGGGAAATAACAATTTTCTACAGGACATTGAATATAAACAAAAACAACTAAACAAATCAGATTTTTTTTAAATATGGTCACATTATACTATCATTATACTGTTTGGAAATGTATTTTTCAAAATCCAAGTTAAACGCGTTTTATAAGAAACCATCATCTTTTCAAAAATAAAATTATTGATACCTGACCACTCTACGAGGCAAGTGAATTATCCATGTAAAACATATTTGTAAATAATAGAATGAAAGTGGATGTTTTTGATTTTATAATTTTAAATTTTTTTTTCATATTTCATAAAAATCGTTATGCCCGTATACGCTTTTAAATATTTGAGTGGCGAAATCACTTGAAGGCTTTGGATTTGTTTTTATTATTCATTATAAACGTATTTTACTGAATTTCTCATACCTGCGAATGCCGACGCGAAAGCGGCTAACACGAACGACAGCACGACCGCCGGTCCGGCATCTGTTTTGGCGACCGCACCAGCCAATACGTAGACGCCGACGCCCAGCGTGGACCCGACGCCCAGAGCGGTCAGGTCGACCAGGTCGAGCACTCGGGCGAGCTTCTCCTTACCGGGTTCGTCTTCGTCGGATTTCCGTCTAGACATCACTTGAATGAGGTTTTCACGCTGTATAACAAAAATCGCCAAAAAAAAAAAAAACATTAATAAAAAATTATATAGTTTTAAAAAACAAAATATTAAAACTAATAAAAAATCGTAAAACGTGATGAGTAACCGATCGGGTCATCGGTGACATAATTATAGTAGTAAAATTTATTTTCAGGAACGTCTAAGTACACACTTGCGACTCGATCGCGTTTAAAAAAAAAACAAGTTGCTGGAAATATTATTATTACGATTTTCGATAATATTGCTATCCGACATTTCGTCGTTTTAAACTATTATATATGTATACGAAAGTCGGTTGATTTCGATTTTGAAAACCGCTTTTCAAGCCGAGAAAAATAAATGAAAATTAGTCAATATTTAAACGGTTAAACGGTAATATATTAAGGTCCGGGGCTCGAACACTGCGCGGGCATAATGAAATGCATAATCATCACTCCTTGAAATCACTTCCCGCCGCAGTACGACGAAAATATTGTCCGAACGGTTCAGAACACCGGAGTCGGTATTCAATCGTTGAAATCACATTTAAGACTCCGAGTGGAGCGAAGAGGAAGACCGGGGAGGTAATTTAAAGAGGTCGTTTTTTTGGTTTATCCAGGAGTTTTATCAATAAATGAGAAAACAGGGGAAAACGGGTACAATATTAAGCAAATATTATTAAAGAAAATATTTAATGCATATGCAATTATTTTACCATAATATGGCATATGTAATACTATTGATTAAGCAATACTACCGACCGAATCGTTTTCTATTTGGAATGGCCAATCGTTGCTTACGGACGTACATTAAATTCCCATGTATATCCTACCTTCACGATTTCGCACTTACAACCTAGTGGCTGTACTCGTTTCCATTATCCGAGGACAGCTTTTCGCGTTTTCGTTTTACTAGCGGAGACATTATTTTCGGCGCTACAATACTCTTACAGTCTTACATTACAATTACTGTATTGTTACGTAAATTATTATTATAACATTATTGTCTAATGCCAACCCGTTGATATTATTATCATGTTAATCGTTATCGTTTCGGTTGTTTCGCTTGTGAATTAATTAGAGAAAAGAAAATAACCCGATCGAGAAATGTCGCTTCTGAAAAAATCGCTTTTGCATTTTAACACAATAGTCGGCTGTTTATAATCGCGGTGTCAATATTGACTAATAACCGTGCAGGTAACGCATTATTTTACATGAATGCTGTAACCGTAAATCGTAGTAATTATTATTATAACCGAGTACACCCGTGCGACACGAAAGTAGAATGTTTTTATCGCCATAGTATGTGTCGTGTTTACATGATTTTTTACTTTTTTTTATTACCGTTGAATATAAAAATGTTAATAATACGATTTGAACACCGGTAAACCGGTATAAGTAACCGTCATTTTCAAAAGTATTTGTAAATACTTTTTATTTTTTGCATAATTATTGCTTATGTAATAGAGCCGTCAATATACTATTTTTTTTTTTTAATAGCATTTTTACGATACTGGTTAGGTTACAAGTTAAAATGTCAAAACCGTTTAACTTTCAACAGTTTTGACATGGTGTAAGGCTATGCATTTTAGATTGATAGACAAAATATGAAAAACAATTTGAAAAAATTATAAAATTGTTTAAAATACGTATTCGAATACTTTTTTCAGCGTTCGAATATTTTCATTCAAATACTTTTCTACAAACGATTTCTAAGTTTTCAGTAATATGGGACAGCGAATCTAAAGGCAGCAACTAGGGCCAAAATAATATTTTATAAAAAGTTTAGACATCTTATCGAACTGAGTAGTCTTAACGACCTTAATGACAATGATTCTTCAATTTTAGATTCTGAATGGAACGAGAAATGTATTGGTTTTACAATGATGTTTATTTTTTTTATGTGAACCTTTTTTCTACCAGAAAGCATTATCCGATTATCAAGTACAGCACCTTTTCTGATAGGAAATATTTTCTAGGTACTTTAGAAAAGTCATTTTTCACGCTAAAAAGGATCGAAAGATTAAAAAGAAGGTTGTCATTGGCAACCATTTTTATATATTTTTGTTAATATTTAATATTCATTATTATAATCTTGTTACACAATTATTGTTTTCATGGAAACGCACATTGTTGTAATAATTTTACCATAATATGATATATACCATATATTGTATTGTTGGCAAATCAACACTATCAACTGAGCTCAGAATCGGTTTTTCGCCAACAATGTTGTATCATTTCTTACGGATATACATTAAATTCCCGACTGTATCCTACCTTCCCAACTTCCTACCTACTCGCACGTGCGAGTGCGAAGTATATCAGTCCATTTATTTTTACAATTTAATAAACAAGCTCTAAACTATTAAATTATCATTATTTTTGTCTACCTTATTTTTGGTAACAAACCGAAAAACCACTTTTGATTTTCAAATGACAATATTTATTTAAAAATTCCATCATACATAAACAGAATAACAGAATATTAGTTTGAATACATTTCGATGTCGGCATTTTTGATTTTCATCAATTTATTGACGAGATATTCGACTCTTTTATACTCTGAGTATAGCGAAGAATGTAGACAAATTCTACCAGAAATCTTGCTCAGTTAAATGCGCGCGGCAATTTTCTTTTGTAATTCAGTAATTCAGTTAAAAATATTCGTAGAGATTTGAAATTTGGACAAAAATGTATACATATTTGCCTTTTCATGACTCATACAGTGTGATCCGATCGCGATTTTTTTTCCCGTTGAGAAAAGTAAAACTTCCTACAGTGAGCATTGGATTTCGATATTTGATCATTGAACTAAAATCCTCAAAGCATCGAGTAAAAAAAAACCTTGAATATTACGATTATTAAATATAGTAATTATTTAAACACTATAAAATATTTTTGGGTTTGAGTACATATTAACAGTGGTTTTAATATTATTATTGAAATAGACTTCTTGAAAACGTTTGTGGGTTTTTTTTTCTTCTAATATTTAGTTTTTTCTTAAACAGATCGAAAAGAAATGAAAAAAAACGGTTATAATATTATTGTGACGTATAGAAATAATAATATGATGTCTTCCATGATTTTCATGTGACGTAAGGATTGATTTACAATGACCGCTATCCCTGACACCTACACGTGAGCTTAAACCTATACAGGGTGATTCACTGAACCGAAAACACTCATTATCTCGAAAAGTATTAATTTTTTTCGAAAACTTAAGAATCAAATAGTTTTAAAATGTTACGTTATCATTTTTTTGTGTGCCCCTTGCTTTTGGGGGTGAAATGATTGCCTGCTTTTAATTTTCTAACAACAGCCTATTTTGAAAATACCATAAATAGATGGAGTATTATTTAAAATACTTCTCGGCGTTGAAATTTTTGATTTCCGTCAACCCGTTGACGGGATATTCTACTTTTAAGATTGGTTTGGAGCAGAGTAGTGGTGCATTATTACGCGCCGTAACGCTACACAAATGATACTCCATAGTACCTACTTACTGCTGATATATAAATAATAACACGGTGGTCCGCGAATTATTACGGCAGCGTAGTCAATTAATACTAATTTTTTAAAAAAAAGATACAACTCTTTGATAGGTAGAATAAGCGTATACACAATCGCAATACAGGTTCTTCAAGTGATCGATAATGTAATAAAATAATATTATAAACGTCTCAATACAATGTATATTATAGTGTTGTTTAACCGTCGCAATAGCGAATTCATGAAAGTGCAGTGTTTTATTACACGAGCGTATTATGTACGGCGCATAATTATGAAACGTTTGTTGAAACGCTATCAAAATAATAACAATAACAATAAAACATTGATGAAATAATGCGCACGAATCTTCGATGGTTAATTTGTTTTTCTTTTTCATACATGTATTTTCCCGTGGCGATCTTTAGAGGAGGTTGTTAAATTCGTGTAACATTCGTAAAAGTACAATTTGGAAAATATGTTTTTGTACCGTTTAAATGATATGACTGATTGTTTTCACACTCCGATCACAATTACATACAAATACATACATTGTATGTACTTACGCTGTAAGTAAGGCTTGGTCACAGCCAGTCTGTTCTATTGTCTCGTGCTCGTGTTCCTTCAAAAATAGTGTGTATTTTTTGCAAATTTTAAGCTTTTTATGATAGAAAATAATGAAATACAAATTATTTTATCTCTAGAGAGGTAGAGTTGGCAAATGTTGGAGTTTTCAAGTACAGGTTTATCGGGTCGAGAAAAAAAAGTAAATTGTTGAAATGGCGATGTACGAAAAATTATTGTACAGCAACCTTTTTTATTTAATTTTTTTTACATATATTCGGTATATAGGGGAACAAATTTTAATTTTACCATATGCTAAACCAACTGACTCAGTAAACGCTGTCTTAATATGTAATAATATGTGATTAAAAACCAATAAAAGATTTTTATTTATAAACGTTTATGTTCAAATGTATTTTTTTTTTTTAATAATAATATTCTACGGTATAAAGTGTTAACCTATTTTCATGCTAAATCGTGTTGTTTTTGGGTTTCAATTGTTTAATTGCAACCGTGCTCAATCCAGTTAAGAAAAAGGTCGATCGTACTCAATCGGGTTCCAGCCGTTGGAACCACCAGGCCCGGCTCAAAGTGTAGGTGACACAGGCCAACGTCTAGCGTGTTATTTTTCAGAACATGATACCGTATAGCTGAACCGTATTTACCGTACAAATTAAGAGGATAGTAAAATTTATGCTGGAAGCAAATCAGAATCGGTCGTGGTGGTCAAAAATAATTAAATCCGTTAAGCCAAAAATCTGAACCGGTTTAATATTATGAATTCTTAAAAACTAATCAGGTTTATTTTTTGAGGAAAAATTTAACTAGGTTTTCTCCTCCTGCGATTACCTTGAATAAAATGTACATACATTTATTTATAAATAACGTGTTTGCTGGTTTTTATTTACTATATAATGATTAGCATTTATCCTCTTGGACCAAATCACAAGAAATATAATTCGATTTGCATAATATTTATTCATAAAAAACCAGAGAAACTAAAAAATAACAATAATATTATAATATCACAATGGAAACAATGAAAAAATGGCGACTGTTGCAGCCTGTTTCATTCCTGATTGAATAAAAATTATTTATAAAATTCGGGGGGGAAAATGTCGACCATATTCGTGTATTTTGTTTTGTTTCTCACGATGTCACATAGAAATAATCTATTTAAATTAAAATATTTTGTTTTATTAAATTCTATAGCCTAACCTATAATATATATAATGTATATAAAAAATTATACATTTACCATGAACCAGCGATTTTCACGGAGGATTTTGAATTTGATTTTTGTTTTTTAATTTTTAATTTTGTTTTTGTTCTATCATTGAAGAATTGTTGAAGTCATTAAAACATTTTAAATACGATTTTTCTACGTTTTAAAACCAAAATTGTATTCATCCAGGATATGATAGAGGTATGATGTATAAAGGATATGATCACGTGTTTAATCTAAGTCTGTATTTCTTAATTCCCATTAATTTGTTATAACAACACTACTAAACTATAACTACCTACTTTGTATTATTGACTTGTATCCAAAAAAAAAAAAACAAAACTGAACGTCACAGACCGTAGGTATCGAGTTAAACACTCAGAGGAGACTAGTAAATTCTATTTTTATTTATTATAAAACTACGACGCCACCAGACACGAAATGCATCGTGTAGACGGCTGGCTGATGCAATGGTCGGGCACCGTTACGTCGGGCCAAAAAACGGCCGACTTAACACAAATATGTCGTGGGCGACGAGAAAACCGAAAATAGCAATAGAAAAAAAAAACCGCATTAAAATAATATACTTACCTACACACTTTACGGAAATTATTTCGGATGCGTCAAATAGTATTTCACTCAATTGAAAATTGAGATTTCGTATATCTATGGGTATTTAAAATTCTGTAGTAACCTCATTGTGCAGGCATTTAAAATTTTAAAAGTACCTAATTTGTATTGAGGATAAAAAAAAAATATGTTATAGATTGTATTTCAAGAAGATGATAGCGACGTTGATGTCGTGCCTCCAGATTTTTCGTCTATAGACATATTTTTATCTAACCAGAAAGTTATATTGCACAAGTATAAAAAAAAAAAAATGCAAATAATAAAAAATAGCTGTTTTGTAAGACAATAATAACTGAGCTTATCGGGAAGTACGCATCTGTTGTTTCGGAAATTGGATTCTTGACACATTTGGTATTCCAATCACAGTAAATTCAGTGACTTAGCTCTAAAGGGAGCAGCAACTGCTCCAGGGCGCCGAAATTGAAACTTTTATCATTTTTAATGTGAAATACCATAACACAATTATGCATTTTGAATTTAAAGCAGGAGACTGATAGCTACTATAAACCTCTATGATTTTCACGTGAGTAGAATTTAAAATGAACTTAGGAAAAAAGTCGATTAATGCTGGGTTCACGCGTAAACATTTCTAGTGACGCAAGTAGTGTAGAAAAGTAGGGAAATTTTTTTCAGTTTACCTGAATGATTCTCGAGTGAATTGCATAATAATCAAATATAATTAGTATGCATATTAATAGAATATTTATGTACTATACACCGCTCACCGTAGCACACCGTTTACAACCAATAGCGTCTATATAATACGACTATTAGTAATATTATGTACTTGTATACATTATGTAATAATCAATAATAATAATAATAAAATTAAAATAATTATAATTTATGTAAGCAAAATGAACAAAAAGAAAAAACGGTCTTTTTCCAACCGTAGTATAAAATAGTTATTTTCGGCCAAGTCACTCACCGAGACGAGCATCGCAAGTTGTATACGCGCTATATTTTATCTATCGAAGTAAAAAAAAAAAAAAAACACAATATGCACTCGTAAAATCGAGTATGTAATAAAAACTTGAAAATGTGTAGTTAGTAGCTATTAACTATATACTGTTGTTTACGGTTATATTAAAATACTATAGTGTATGATTCCGCATGGCCTTGCCCGTGACAATTTAAATGTACACATCTACTTCATTTGCCTCTATCAAGTTATTTTATCATTCTGTCTTATCTCTACAAGATGCCGTCCAATTATCCGTCAGTGGCGTGACGAAGGAGTTTTCAACAAGCCACATCACGGTTGAAATAAATATAATAACCAATGTAATAGGTTAAGTAATAATTAAGTTCTAAAATTTCATGAAACTACAATATTTCATTTTCATAAAAAATTCATAGAATTTATTTTAGATTCCGAGCGTAGCGAGGGACTTACTGGTTTTATAACGCTGTTTATTTATTTATTTTTTACTAGTCTGTGAACACGTTTTTTCCTTGTAAAATTGCCCCAATGTATAAGAGTAGCACCTTTTCTGAAAGCTCAAGTTGTCTAGATTGTACATTGAAGAGGTCATTTTTTGATTTTTGTCATCGTTTTTTAAATAAAAGCACTTAAGTGGGAAAAAACGTAGGCCAACGTACAATTTCACGATTTCATTATTTTACAAGAACATGGACGACGTTTTCTACCAGAAAAAAATGATTTAATCGAAACATCACAAGATACCTTTTTTTTTAATTTTTTGATATATTTTCTTACCTTCTTAATGCAAAAACTTTTGAGTCACTTTTGAGCTTTTAAAGAATTTTAATTTTTGGGAGTTTTTTGCTGTAATTCGGTTTAAATACACATAAATACTTGAAACTTGGTGATAATACTTATATTGGACTTACCTAGAAGTGGTAATATTTTCAAAATCAAGAGATGACTTTTTTTTTTAAACTAAGCTTTTTAAAATTAAATTTAAACGAAACTCGCAAAAAAAAACTACGGCACTTCAAATTATATACTACCGAACTGCGCTCGGAATCGTCTTTCGTCAAACAATAGTTTATTTCTATTTCTAAGTTGGGGTAGGGGGAGAATAGCCGCTAAACAAATTATGGTCCATTACTTTACACTTCTCCTCCCACCTTAACTTTAAAGTGAAATATTAGAAAAATTATACCTTCCCCCCCCCCTGAAAGGATATTTTATACGCAGGAACTAGCGGTCGTTGACAGTATAGTCGATTATGGAGTCTGTATGACAATTATTCTGATTAAACGCGTATTAAGTACCACGAATCGTTTTTCAATATTTATTGTTTTCCTTAGATAAAAACCAACACTGCACGTCCGCACTAAGTTGTAAGTTGTCACATACATAATAATAATATATACGAAATCTGACGAACACGTGATTTCAATCGACCTATTTACCCTGTTCACGTTCCGTTAGCAGTGGCAATATTTACTATATTACGTACACATTGTACCTATCACTATGATAAAAACAAATCTACGTATAATAATATATCGCAATGACCGTTATGATATAATATTATTATGTTATATTACGTATGGCAAACGTATATGTGATGTGAGTGTTTAGTTTTGTTCATAATAGTTATAAAGGTACATTGTATACGTATATATGCATGAATTAAAATAAAAGATCGAAAACAAAATATTACTATTATTGTTATATTTACATTATCCTTGAACTTGATGACCCGGAGTTAATAATAATATATTATATATTGATCAATATCGGATGGAAAAGTAATAATCGTCTACTACCGCATAAAACCGGACGAATCATGTACGTGTCCATCCCATAACAGTATTGAATTACTTATGCTATGTTTCTTTGCAAACGTTTAGTATAAGATTTGTGCGAATTTGTACATCCCATAGACCCGTGTCTCTCAGCAAATGTGAAAAACTGAGAAAAACCACGGGAAAACCAGGAACGACATTAAAAAAATATTATCAAAGAATATTTGTAGAGAACATTTAATTATTTTACTATAATATGGTATATATATTGTTGACAAAGCATCTCTATCAACTGAACTCCGATCAGAATCGTATTTTTCGTAAGCAACGGTTTATCGTTGCTTACAGGTACACATTAATTAATTACTTATAACAGTGACTGCGCCCGTCCCCGTTGTTCTGGGACGTCTTTTTTTTCTTTTCTTTAATGTGATGAAGTGACAAATTTTTCGATTTTTTTTTTTCGTAAGTCTATAAGTTAATATTGTACGTGATTATTAATATTATTATTATTATACATGGTTTACAATAGTTTTTCAATTCTGCCGGAAAATAATGAGTACATCGTAATAAAAATAACAATCACGATAATATATAAAACTTCCTCGTAGCTTCGTGCTTAAGGTACTAAAAATCTATAATAAGCATTTTTTCAAGGAAAAATCCATAGTATTGAACCGCGATAATACGATAATCGAAATACACGTCTTGACGATTAATAGTAACGAATTATTTTTTTCATTGTTGAAACGTCTGAAAAAACTACCTATATACGTATATAGGTATATAAGGTATACGTCTTAGCAAGTATTTAGATAGGTGCAATAGACGATTGGCAAATAACATAACTATGCTAAAAAAAAAAACCATAAAACCGGTCCGCAGTGTGCTACGGATTCCGAGATAATTACACGTCAGAGTACAGGAAAGTAGTCGAAGTCTGAGGTTACGAGCGGTAGGTAAACAAATTTGGTATGTTTTTTTTTTCTGAACATTCTCTAATGTACAGCAACATAATATTTTTTACACAAGCGTATAATATAGCGAGCGTACTCGAAACTATAAAACGAAATCGGTTCATCGACTGTCATTGTCACAATGTTTTCATTCCGTTCGGACACATTTTATTACATAGGTATGTCATAATATTATTATTTAGATCAGTGATCTTCAGCCGGTGGATAGCGATTAAAATTTTAATAGTTAAATTCGAGTTTGGTTAAAACGCACTTTATAATATGTATCTTTGGTCCAGGGAAGAATGCACTCGAGTCCGGTTTATATATTTTCCAATACAAGTGAACTCAACTTTTGAATATAGTATGGTAAATGCCATAATGGAATAATCGTTAAACGGCCTAATCTTAATATGGAGTTATAAATGGCTCAAGTCGTTAGGCAAGTAATAATATTGTGGTACCGGGGTGGATTTATCCCCAGGTCCAACCCCGTAAATGCATCATTGATTCGAGTATATTTTTAACGGTTTTTTTTTCTTTTTTACTAGTAATAATTTAAAACAGTCAGTGTACACTCGTTGGTCAGACAATTAAAAATTTGATACCTTCCCCAGTTCAATATTTGCAACCATAAAATATATCATTGTACAAAATTGTAACGATAATCCGAAATATTCGCTACGAACATAGTGCCCTGTAGTGGATTAAAATTGTTATTCGCAAAATTCTAAAACTTTCTAATAGAAAAAGTGTTCACATAAAAAAAAATAAACATCATTGTTAAACCAATACATTCTTCATTCCACTCAGAATCTAAAATAATATTAAATGTCATAACTAGAGGGATGTGCGCTGATAGTCCCTTAAATATTTTTCTAGAAATTACCCACAACTCTTTCCTCTCCCTATTGGAAATTTTTGAGAACGTCACTGACAATTATAATAATAATTAATAAATCGCGAACATAAATGATATAGTTATGCAACGAATAACAGAAGATGACAATAATTATATTGAAATTCTTATCAAACGTAGCGCCTTGGTAAAGTTTACCGCCAAATCGAATCTTAAAATGTTATTTTTATCTGTCTACCTGATATAGAGTTACACGTTTGGCAAACGTGCTCGTAGGTATATTTCAAAATATTCCTATCATTTGGCGCCCGTGCTGCCTCCGAGTACCTATACGAATTGCGACCCTGGCCCGAAACCTATTTTTTTTTTCAATTTATTTTTTACCCATCATGTGTTACTCGCCGTGTTCTAAATTATAGTATCATTCTAATTTTCCCGATCGACTTTAAAATAGTTTTTACTTCCGCAATGAGTTTGACGTCTATTGATATTAAATGTAACGTTTTTGTAATAATATTCTATATGATGCATCGGATATGATTATACAAAAGTGCCAGATTTTCTCCCCATACGTCCGTGATAAGGGGAAAAGTATCATTGCGAGTGACATCAAATATTCCAATATACCAAGTGGGCGCTTGTCGGAACTCGATTGAAAATAAACTCTTATAGGTCACTGTTGTAGGATTTTGTTTCTTCCGAAGATTTTTGTTGATTAGTAATTCCCATGAAGGGAAAACTGTACGAAATAAAACGTGAACGATGACGTAATAATAATATTTCCAAGGCGAATTGTAAGTTTTATCGGCGGACAACGCATTATATTGACTCTAAGATCACTATCTCTACTATCTCTGTTGTTATCGTCATTACTAAGGCTCGGAAATTATTGCACTACAAAGCATTAAAATTGAATGCGTTAATGCGATATTTAAAAAATATCCAAAATTATACTTAAAAATTGCAATCAATTATTTTATTTACCAAATAAACATAAAAATAATCCACGATTTGGGGAAATAATAATTCGTGCATCGTCTTATCAAAACATATTTTCGCCTCTGCCTTCACAATCGAAAAAGCCAAAAATAACCATCAATTATTATATTATTCTGACATATTAATACCTGACAAGGCCCCTATCGTTATTTTATTTCTATAACGAAAACGATAATTTAAATCAAGTGAATAATATTTAAAAATATCAAACATTGTACTTTAAATGAGGAAAATCAACAAATTACAATCAAATCGAAAAAATGACAGAAATTGTAAAAAGTTGTACTAAAAATTTTAGATTTCGATTCGTACTTGCACGGGACGAATTTAAAACTTACTTAACAGTAAATCCGAACAATAGGAAAAAAAAGTTGCAAACGCGACAACTTCCGAGCTCTAATTATTACTATCTCGTGCCGTTTGTTTAGATATTACGTCGATTGTGTATAATGCCGTTATAAATTAATATTATAATATTTTCGTCGCCACCTTTTGAACGGAATTAGCGATGATGGTTGTACGATGATATTTCAGTTGCAGTCTTCGGTCGTTTTATTATAATATAAATACATCTATTTTCAGTTTTCAATGATTAACTCTTGCAACTGTTTGCGTTTTTATTATTATTTTTTTTTTTTTGTATATAAATCGTGAGTGTATTCGGAAGAACTAATTAGGTAATTATCCATTGAAGGTTTTATATACATATACGGGGGTGGGAGTCGATTTGTACGGCTGAGATTTCAGATTTCAGATTTGTCTGTAAATCGTCGAAAAATGCTGTAAAATGCATCCGGCGCACCGCCCGTTTTAAACACAAAATCGTCCGCTCTGCCTGTGATAATGGGCATAAACGATTTTTCACCGTTTATTTTGTCAAATGTGTGCCTGTAAATATTTTCGACGATATAAAAACTGTTCGAGACCTTATCGTGAGGAACCACATTAATCGGCGTTAGCCGAACGCAATATTATACATTATAATTTTGATAAATGTTGGACCTGTTAATAGTATTGCATGTGTTTTTAGTATTATACAGGAGTATTTATTTGTTGTTAAGGATAATATACGAATGCGCAGAAAAAAAAAACCAGTTTCTAAACAAATAAAATAATATACCTTCGGCTTTACGCTATTATGAATAATTGCGAATGTATTGTGCGCATGACGTTTTTAATAATAATAATATTACTATTATACCTATCCGTTCGTTTCGAAAATGTGACCTTGTAGCGCGGAATATTAAAATGTTAATATATTAATAATTGCCGTACCTAAATTATTATACAAGCAAATTGTACGGAATTCTGTACAATGCTCTGCGGTCAAAATATCCGTAGCTACGGCATTTCGCGCGTAACTATGTAATAATATGGGAAAAATGAAAAATCCAAAATGAATAAGAATGAAATTGGTCCGAAATCGTAATTTCTATACCTGTATTTAAATTTGTAATACTTGAATTTGCTAAATACAGTATCATATTTAATTGTGAAATCGCTTCGCCTGGGTCCGAACGGAACAAAGTAAAATAGTGAAAATAAACCCGGATTTGCTACGCGTGAAACAACGTCGGGTAGGATTTTATGTCGTGTACCTACAGTATTTTGATATGCGACCGAGACGCGTTACTGAAATCTTATCATTTTCCGGACGACTGCTTATCATTCCTCAGTGTGGTTTAATAACGTTGAGTCGTTAGGTGGGGCAGAGTTATGACGTGACACACGATGTCGCTGGAATATCGGATTTATAGTCTCTCCCGCTTTTGGTGAGCATTTTACTTTTGGTCAATGCCATTGAGTGAATTAATTTTTCATAATTTTTTTTTTTTTTTTGGTGGAAACGGGTACCGCCCCTCCCGCTACTGTTAATATTATTATAATATATTTTACGCGACAACGTTAATCGTATTGTCTTTGCAACGGTAATTATCTAAATATAGGTACCTACACCTATATTGATATATTTAAAAAATATTATTTTCGAGATAACAATATTGCGTTTGTTTTTGACGAGTTAAGTGCATTTGGAAAACGTGCATTTATTTTAATAGGTATACAGCAATAAAAATAACCACAATAATCGTTTGCATATTATGTGTAACATAATGTTATATAGGTATATCATTACGAAACAATAGAATATTTACAAACGACAGTAGTTATTCGATTTAAGAGAACGCGATACCCGCATGTGTTGTCTCCGTCCTACGAACGTACGACACAGCAAAATTTGCGTTCAGCAAAAACGATTTTGTGCTGTTATTTTTAACATAACAATAAATTTAACTGTTCTCAAACTTAAAGACAAAATTATCTGTGTTATTTTATCGGTGCTATTTTTGTTGATATTTTAATTCCCAAGCGAGATGTAAGCATTATTTAATATTGTGAATCACATATTCATACGTCGCTCGAAAATTAATACAGCGAGAAAAAGCGCTTGTGTTACACGGATAATGTTCTCATCTTTAAGTTTGATAATAGGACAATTCACTCTAATATTAAAACTAACAGCGCAATTTTGTCCCTGCTGTAAGCGAATTTGATTTTTCATACATTTTTAAGACAGAGACAACACATGCGAATATCACGCCCGCTACGGATGTCAATATTATTACATCGTAGAGTACAATCGTACAATTCACTACCGTATAATTTCCTTGTATAATAAACAACACTTTTAAAATAGGTTACAGGTGGAAATGTAATTGGGCATTTAAGAACGTGCAGATATCGTTCGTAAAGGGTTAAGTATAAGCAATTGAATGAAACAATTCTAATTTATCTACTCGCAAGTATTTAATTTTGCTTTATCGAATAACATAATATGTACAAGTAGTAAGTCCCGTGTAATTATTATCACAAATATTTTTAACTTTATATAAACTAAACATTTCACCCGGGAAAATAAGTATACTCTTTCCGTATTTTACAATAGAACTGCTAAAATTTTACAGTACGTTAAGAAAAATTCTGTTCTGTTATGTTCACAGCGAGCAAGCTATCGGCTTGAGAACATTTGGTTACTTTGAGGTTTTTGAATTTACTTAGAAAACCGTCCAATGTACGTGCGCACGAGGGCGAGTCCATTTTATTTTGCAGGTGCGAAAACAATGCGTCCAATCAAAGCCAAAAGAAATTGTTTTAACCGATTTCAATAAAAAGCAAAGGTTATGAGTATCTATTCAAAGTGTATAGTTTTCTTTTCGAAATGTTGAACGTGTGTCTTAATATTATTATTACCGATTACTTAAACGCGTAATAATAGTAATATACTTACTATTATAGGCAAGTCAAACACCTTTAGAAATATTAAAATCAATGATTATTATTGTTAGACTATACGTGTAAAAAACACTATACCTACTAATTGTACATAATTTTTAGTATTCGTGTTATACAGTTTAATTTTTTTGTCCCATAAACATGAAACAACAAGTCACGAGTTACATGAGACTAAAAATAATATAATTATTATGCGATTTTCAAGTAGTGCTTTGTAAAATTTTAATTAGTAAGTAATAAAATATAATTTTGATATCTAGGTACTTAACAAAAAGTCGATACAAAAATCAATAATTTAATATGCCGAATATATTAGCAATATTGTCTTATATATTAACACATGTAGCAACAATACGTCGATAGGTGAATAAATAATGCGAACAAATTAGAAAGTTGTCCTAGAATAATGAAGACGGGTGCAGCCACTGTTGTAGGTAGGAATTTGGGAAGGTAGGATACAGAAGGAAATTTAATGTACATCTGTATAAGTAACGATAAACCATTGCTAACGAAGAAACGATTCTGAGTGAAGTTCAGTAAATAGTGACGCATTGTCAATAAAATCCATGTCATATTATGGTAAAATAATTAAATAGTCATTATGAGCCTGAGCAAAATTGCTGGTTTAAAAAAATGTTTACAGAAAAAAAATTCGTAATAATTTACTAATATATTTCGTATATTTTACCGCTTTTCCTCCGTTTTTTTTCGGTTTTTTACATTTAATGAGAAAACTGATGAAATCGAAAAAATGACTTTCTTAAAGTACCATCTCAAGAAAATTTCCTTTCAGAAAAAAGACTAAATCGTATACATCAAAGTAAGCTTTCTAGTTGAAAAAGTATTTGCATAAAAAAAAAAAACATCTTTGTAAAACCAATACATTTTTCGCTTCACTCAGAATCTAAACAGTTTACGGTAGAACTTGACCGTACTCTGGGTACGTAGACGCGATTTTCAAAAACAAAACTGAAAAATTTCGATTACGTTTGGAATGTTCACGGACATGACAGACCGACAGAAAAAAGCTCAAACATAATAAGTAGAATAAGCATACTTAATAATAATAGACAAATAATAGACAAATATTGTTTATGTTATTTTAATTATTTATTACGAATTTGTTATCATAATTTTTTTCCATAAGCTAAAATGCTCACTGAAAACGTGTTTTATACACGACCAACGAATTTTTTCTACATTTTTCCGATTGGTTTACTCGATCATTTTTAAGAAAACATTTGTTTCAAGCGACTTCCGCCTTTATAATTTTTATAAGATAACACAACGGCCGTTTCATAACAAAAAAAAAAAAAAAAACTACAATTGTATCGGATATTACAATATTAAGCTATATAATAAATATAGGATAAGTATGAGCGCGAGTCGTTGTGCCGTTAAGGTCCGTCGGGTTTTTTTCGTGTACGATCCCGTGACACCTGTGGGAGTGGCTTATAAAAATCTGCGTATTTAAATATTGAACAAATATAACCGCGTATATTTTTAATCGTATTTTTTCTTTTAATATTATTATTTGCATATCGGACGAGTGTATAGTAATTTATGGCGTATTAAAAAAAAAACGATTTTAAGATCATTCATTCAACGAAAGACCACGTGCATCATAATGCACGAGTACATAACAGACATTTTAATGACTCGTAGTCTCGTCTAAAAACTGGCGTGATCGATAGTAAAATACATAATTTTGCATTAATATTATAAGTCCCCCGTGTGTGTTATTAGTTTTGCACTATGGTGGGCTTATCACGACACGGATCGCAGGAAATTTATTATAATTTAAGTATTATTAGATATAGTAAATATAGTAATATTGTATGATTTACTGTATTATTTTTGCGGCGTACCTGAAGTCAGTGTTTTTTATACCACAATATTTGTACGAATACTATTAGAATAGGTACGCGCAAAATATTTTTTTAAGAAAATATATTCTCAAAATTTAAAAGTAAATAACTTTTCTGGTTTTTTTTTTTGTATTAAATAACTTACTGTATAACTGTAAAATAACATAAATTCTTAAACTACCGAAGCTTTAGATTTTCGTTTGGGTGTATTTTTTTTACATAATCTCTTGTAGCCAATACAGTCCAAAAATCGACGAAAATAAAGCCGACGTATTAATAATTTTATGTCATTTTTTTTTTTTTAATTTTGTAGAAAACTGTTGTACACAAATATTATTGAACACATCTAAAATACACATCTTTTAAGGTGTATGTATTATAATATGTGAACGAATTAGAGAACTTTTATTAAAACCGTTTTCCGAGCAAACAAAAAACACATCTTACTAGATACTTTTTTACGAGTGATTTCGTCGGAGCCACTAATGAAGGTAGCAAATTGTTTCTCTATCTCTTCCACCGGTATGGCATGACTATTTTTCGGCTATGATTTGAACTGTTCATGCATACATGATATCCCTACGTCTATCTGAAAATACGATCTAGTTCTGCTGCTCACTGGCGTTTTATTTTTACTTTTTTGTTAGAATGATAAATTATATTATCTTTTTGATCGAATCATCACCATAAAGAAACCAGAAGGAAAAAATAAAAAGGCGATTTTCAAAGACCGTTTTCGGTGGTTGAATTCCGGTACAAAAGAATTAGCTAGCAATGAATGTCTTTGCAAGTGAAATGTTCCTAACAAATTCGTTATTAAAACGAATTGAGATCGGTTCGGTGATTTTACAGTGCAAAGGCGAAACAAATAGAAACATACTTTGTTTAAACTTTTGCATTTTATAGTACAAAATTTAAAACTTAAAAGTGAATTGTTAATTTTCGATCCTCAACGAGCACACCTTTGTGCAAGTTTACTGTGATGACGACGCTATAGTTTTTTTTTCCATCTACACCTATAACCGGTTGCATTTAAAAACCGCAAACATATGGTTTCTATCCCGAATTGGTCGATAGATAAAAACCACACACTTCATCGGATGATAAGTAGGTACATTTGTATAGCCAAATACCGCACACTTATATAGGGTAAAACTGTACGCTAATTTTAAAATATAATATAATATAATATATTGCTGTATGAATGTATTGTCCAATTAAAAACAAAATCAACTTACTTAATGGATACATTTTAACATTAGTAATACATAATTTTTTATTATATTGTGTTTAATTTTAGGAACAATTGTTTAAATGTTGGAGAGAATTTTCGAAGGAAGGAGTTCGTTTAAAATTTCTAAAAAAAACATCGGCTATCGATTTCTACTAATAATTATATAAACATTTTTTTTTTTATAAATAAATTTAATTCTTTAAAAAACGTCGGATTTTTGCTTAAAATTTTCATCATTTTGTTTATTTGATTTTATACTGATTATATTTTACATTAATATTTAACAACACAAATTAAGATACAAATATTATATTTGAAATTTTATTTTATATATTTTTAAATTAATTATTAATAAATAATAGATTAAACATTATTATAAAATGTGCAATTTTCGGATACAACAATTTAAAAAAGTGTGCGGTTTTAACCTACTAAATGTGTGTGGTTTTAATCTGCAAATAGTATACGGTTTTGCCCTGTATTTTATTGCAAATGTGCGGTTTTTGGATTCATCGCTTTAATCTAACCTACGGAAACCAGTCTGTCCAATAGCGAGAGGTTTTTTTTTTTTCTAATGTCGATAAATTGAAACATAATATTATTACAAATTATTAATATCATTTCTATATACTATTCAAGGGTATTTAACGGGTACACATCTATTCTTTAACACAGTAAACCGTAATTATTGCCCAATTATTAATCATTTAAAATGGGTAATTTCTTCATTTCTCGTTCACAACATTCAAGTTAATTAATAATAACTGTGTGTTTTTCATCCGGGTCGTTATGTATCTTTACTCTTAAATCGATAAAAAAAGAAAAAGTTGAATTTTCGCTGCGAACATATCAAAAACTGTGTGTAGCCCTATTTAAGGATTCGAGATAAAAAGTAGACTACAGCGACCGAACTTGATTTTACGTACTATGTGTGTAGGAAATTAAAATATTGTTGTATTCTAACGGTTGTTCATAATCGCTTCAGCGGCGGCGTTTATCATCCATTCGAATTTTATGGAATAATATACGTTTCGATTATTAAGCGTGTAATTTTCTATTTGCAATTTACCGATACATTCATCGATTTGCGCGTAAAAATATAATAGTTCCATTAACTAACGCAGAGAACAAAATAAAAAAAAATAGAGAAAAGATAATGAGAATAATGAGGGTGCAACACCCGTCCGATAAAATATGAATTTCACTCGAAACCTCTCGCGGAGTTATTAATCTTTTTTACGCATGTGCATGTATAATGCAGTATTATTACACTGCCGTCCGTCGTTGCCGAATAATAATTGTCGCCTTTAACAATAATTACCATCGTATAATATATATTGACACATATATAGATATTGCAAATAGACCACATTTTATTAAACTTTAATTATTATTGTACGCCAATTGGATAATAATTACGATTGTTATCACTTTAACCACTTTAACGAGGTCTAAAAGTCGTCTAGACAATTATTTGTATCGTATTTATAACGGTCACTAAACCACGTACGCGTACATATTGTTATATACAAGTATTTTAATTGATTTTATTTTGATTGAGATAGAACAAAAAGAACAAAAAGAAACCGACTATGCACGATATTTTTGTCTCACTGCTATCGTGGTCACTGCGAAATGTAGAGTGATTTTCCATTTATCATATTTACTTTTTTCCAGTGATTTTCTATATCCAAGGATTGTTTTAGTACCAAATATATTTGATGTTTATGCGTGTTTTTCTTTTCAAACTTTTTTACCCTCCGTACTTAACCTAATCTGAACTTCGTCAACGGATGTTAACGTTTTGATTTTTAAACCGTATTTAAAAAAAAAAAAGAAATAATATCGGACAGTAATGTCGGGTATTTTACGTTTAAGAGTTTAAAATTTAGATCGGTGTACAGTAAGAAAGAGTAATAAATTTAATATTGGTACTAATACGATAATTTTTCCTTACTCTCCGGTTTAAGTTTGTAGCCGTTACGTATACAGCTCGAACGCGGAAAATCAGATATCAGTATTATATGCAAACACATCGACATTTTCAGATAAATATTCACTTTTCGAATCATTTTTGAACGAAGGGGAGAGGGCTGCCTGTTTATTTGAAAACCAAATGTCCGTAATCTATATATTTTATAGTTTATGGTGTGTAATAGGTATATATTAAAATTATTAAGAAAGAAAACAAACCTATACCTATATAATACTAAAATAAAAAACCATTTCCGTTATAGTCGTTAGATTATGATTAAGACTACGATTTCTATGCATTTAGCACTATTTTTTAAAGTTTGCTGTGCGAAATGCTATAGTATTTTGTCACAAATTCGTTTAATGTAGTTTCGAATAAGAATAAAAAAAGTTAATTTTAAATTTTTTGATAAATTTTGGCATTTTAGTCATTTTCTTGATTTTTTAAAAGCATTTTAGGGTTTTAAATGAAAATGTTTGGAGCTTTTGGATTCGAAATTTTATTTTATAATTTTTACACGCTAACGTGATTTTTATATAAATATAACAATATATTAAGCAAGACGTAAGTACCTACTCGTATTATATAATACGATATAAAATATTATATTATCGGGCAATTGTAATGACAAAACCAAAATATCGAGGTTAAACAGATAATTTCTACGACAAAACCAACGTAGTATTTTAAGAATAACTAGATTTCCTGTTTAATATTCTGTTACAGCAATAAAATTGACTATTTATCAGCACAAGTTTTGTCATCGTATAATGAATTTATAATATTATGATTTACATTAAAAACAAACATTTATTTGAGTGCATTTTTTTAGTTAATTGTTTAGAATTTTTCGAAGAGCATTTTTAGGTTTCTATAGGGTATTACATTCTCTGTCCTAATCATGATAATCCTATTTCATCTTGTAAAATACTCAGACGAATAATGTTATAATAATAATTATTAGATAGGTATTAATTGAGTTTACCTACACCAATAATTACGTTCAAGGTAAAGTCTATATTATAGACTGGTGTTTTTCTGCGCGTCTTTATATTATACTCATTATACAAATATTTATAGACATGGATATTTGAAAAAAAAAAAAATCAGGAAAACGATAGTAGTCGTATTTTATTCACGGTCGTTTGGAATAACTGTCTGCATAATAATATTCTATCTAACAATAATATCTAACGGCCTTTTTATTATTATTATTATTGTATAGTTATAGGCATCCGTAGATTGCGATTGATAGACCTATGTATAATATTATAGTTTTATAGGTTATGTATTTAATTTCGTTTAACGATTCCGAAATTATTCTCGACGGTTAGATTTTGAACAGTGTTATTATTCGTATTCATTTCACTCGGTGTTGACGTAACGCGGAAATTAACAAAAATGGCTAGTTTTTCCAATTTATTGAAAGCTATAAGAATAATCAAAAGACGACCTCCTCGATGCACCAACTTTATGAACAATTCTGCACGATAGTTCCTATACAGTTGTTTGTTGGAGTAAAATTTCCTGTAGAAAAGATGTTTATGGAGACATTAAAGAAAATAAAAACATTTCATAATAAAACAAATACGTTGTTCGCTTCGCTTAGAATCTAAAAAAAAGTGAATGGGTAATAGAAATGTTTTCGAAACGATGGTTTTCATCATTGTGTGGCGTCAAACAGCTTATTAAATTTCGATCTTGGCCATAGAAAGTAAATACGATTATATTATAGGTTTAATATGTGTACGCAAAAGATATTTCGCCAACGGAATAGACTGGCGGGGTTTTACAATATTTAAAAACAGTGATTCGCACTGTGCGAGAAACCTATACCTGTACTTAAATTTCGGAATACGTTTGAAACATTATAAACGCCCTGATGTTCCGCCTACATAATATGGGTGTAGAGAACACCTGTTTCTATGTATAAGTATACTTGAACTCGATACATAATATGCACAAATATATACAGCATGATTCACTAAGCGTGTTCTCTCCATTTTTTTTTTCGTTAAATTTAGTATAAATTAAAATTCTGATTTTTGGGATTTTTAAACGTAGTTATAGCCGATATTTTCAAATACTTAGATTTTTCACAACATTTAAGGAGTAAAAATTCCATAAACACACAGAATACAACTTTAAATATAAACTTTCAACCCGTTGACGAGATATTCCACTTTAAAGTTTAGGTAGGGGTAGATTATCGGAGCACTAATAAAATGCCGCGCGCCGTACTGTCACACAAATGATACTTCACTACTCTCCCCCTATCTAGACTTAAAAGTAGAAAATCTCGTTAACGAGTTGACGGAATTTAAAAATGTTGGCACCAAAATGTATTTAAAGTAATACTCCGTTTATTTATAAAATGTTTAATATATGTTCTCATATGAAAAACCAAAATTGGACCAGCCACAGGATACTCCATAAATGTTGTGAAAAATCTAACTACTCGAAAATATCAGCTATATCTACACACACAAATTCCAAAAATCAGAATTTGAATATATGCAAAAAAAATAGGATGAGCACGCTTAGTGAATCGCGCTGTAGATATAGTCGAACGAGGTATAAAATTATTGACCGAACTCAAATAATAATTTGCAATTATATAATATACCTCAAAGGTGAACAAACGATAAATCGTTGCACAATGAATATTGTTAAAAAAGACACATAATATTATCATTATTCATCATATAGATTATCTTTGGAATTTTTTTATTATTATTATTGTTGTTTATCTATTTATTGACCTGCTGTTGTTGTTGATGTTGTAGGAACTACTTACGCGCGTCTGGAGCACTCGATCCGAAAAAAAATTGCAGTTCTATTGTTAAATAACCGCATTTTTCAGCGTAGATTTATAAAAATAAAATTGTTTTCGAATTTTATCGGATATACGATACACCTATATACATTTACCATATTATAATTGTCTACACAAAGCGCGACTAGATATCGATAATTTTTTTTTTGTGTTTTAAATCATTTTTTACGCATTGATCAGCCAAAAATCTGTATACTCATTTAAGATTTCAAAGTACCTATATTATTACATTCCCACCCCCACCCCATGCACGTAAATTTAATCGGAAATGTTAATATAGCGATTGATACATTGCGGAAAACGACGGCAGTGGCGTTAACAATTTGTTAAATGAACACGTGGTTCGTAAACAAATTATTATATTAAAAGTGCAGTAATATTATCATACCGATGAGTAGTTTTTATCTATTGTTTCGAATTCGTTTTTTTCTGACCATCCGCAATAAAACGCAAAAAAATAGCACTACACTCATGTATTATTATATTGCCATGCTCTCTGTTCTTCTATAACCTACTCTTGTATGCAATCTAATTTTCATATACGCATAATCCTACGCTATAAATTACGTAATCAGAAAAAAAAAGCGTATTTTAACGATTTGCCGCATAATATATTATTCGCATTCTTATATTAAATTAATATCCAATATAATTATACTATTACGATATTATACCGATTCGTCGATCAATAAAGCCCAAGTGTATAGTACGATTATGCACTCGGAAATCAGAAAAACCACCTATGCTATTCAATCTCAATAATATAATTCCTATTCGAAATCGTAGCCACCGCGGTTTGCAAAATATAATAAGACATCGTTGTTAAACACGTGATAAAATCGTATAATAAAAGATCACATACGGCTGATGGGTGTGCCTGCATTGTTTTAGGAGAGAAGTCAGTAGGCAGGATGTAATATAGTATAATTAAATCGATATCTGTACGCCACAATACACCATCGCTAACGAAAAACGACTCTGAACAGAATATTATTAGTCTTATTTTCCCCAGTTGCCGGAAATCAACAGAAATTATACGAAAAATCGCCATTTTTTCATATTTATTGCGAAAACTGACCTACCTATTTGCGCACCGATTATAAATCGGCAATACTAAAAGTAAGTTCTTATAAAGATTAAAATTTCCTGTGAAAAGTTCTTAACAGATGCAAAAAACACACGTTCAACAACTAATGTATTCCAGGCTTCGCTTAGTGTATAAAATATTATAATACAATTGGTTTGTTATTTGTTTGATTTTAGATTCTCAGCGGATTCCGAGAAACGCATTGGTTGTAAAATGATGTTTTTTTTTTCTGTAAACAACTTTTCTACAAAGAATTTTGCTCAAGTTTTCAAGTACAGCGGTTTTTCTGAAAGGAAATTTGACTAGGGTGGTATTTTAAAGAGATATTTTTTTATGTTCCCAGGAGTTTTCACAATAAATGGGAAAACCCGTATGAAAAACGGGAAAATTTACGACATTTATTATTTTCGAATCGTAAATATTAGGACCTTTTAAAAAATGTGTAACCAAACTCCGCACAGAATCGTCTTTCGTTATCAATGGATAATTGTTGCGTACAGATATACATTAAATTTCCCCTCATATTTCCCAACTTCTCACCTACAACAGTGGCCCACCTATTGTGCGAAGTATGTTCGTTTGTTTTTGAACTAGTATACGGTCAAAAAATATCCTATGTACGAACGTTTATTGGATCCAATTTCAGTTTAACGTACCTATATATATATATATATATATATAAATAGTTTAATTTGGCCGCAGAATATGATATTCGTTCGCGAATCATCGAACCGGGAAATTCGAAAATGACCTTTACAACGTAATAGTATAATGACGTGTGCACGTTCAATTATAGCGTATTAAACTGTTGAATTTGGACGATTAACGAAACTTTTCGAGTGGATGATAAGCCATACTGAAGAACGTTTTCCGAGCGATAAACCGCCTATTCGTCGCGATGCGTAAAAATAGAATGACGAGTAAAAAAAAATCCCACTGGCTGCATAACAAATTATAAATATCCATAATAGATATCGGCTCAATATAAAAAAAGCTGACTCCGGGGATGGGAGCGGCTACTGTTGTAGATGAGAAGTTGGGAAGGTAGGATACATAAAGTTATTTCATTTATATCTGTAAGCATCGATAAACCATTGCTTGACGAAAGACGACTCCGAGCGCAGTTCGGTAATATATAATTTGAAGTTCCGTAATTTTTTTTCGCAATTTTCGTTTAAATTTGATTTCAAAACGCTTATTACAAAAAAAAAATAAAAAAGTCGTCCAATGATTTTGAAAATATAACCCCGTCTAGATAAGTCCAATTTAAGTATTTTAACCAAGTTTCAAGTCTTTACGTGTATTTATAACCGAATTACAGCAAAAAACTCCCAAAAATTAAAATTCTTTTAAAGCTCAAAAGTGGCCCAAAAGTTGTGGTGATGATATTGTAAAGAAGTAAATCAAAAAGGCAACACAAAAAATATATCTTGTGATTTTTCGATTAAATCATTTTTTTCTAGTAGAAAACGTCGTTCGTGTTTTTATAAAATAATGAATTTGTGAAATTTTACGTTTGCCTACGCTTTTTCCCACTTAAGTGCTTTTATTTAAAAAATGGATCCAAAAATCAAAAAATGACCTATTTAAAATACAATCTAAATAACTTGAGTTTTCAGAAAAGATGCTACACTTATACATAGGAGCAAGTTTATTAGGACGTGTCCACAGACTAGAAAAAAAAAGTAATAAACAACATTGTAAAACCAATAACTCTTTCGCTACGCTCGGAATCAAAATAACGAGGACGTGGTTCATTATCACCGACATAAAATCGGAGATTTTATTCCCGATTCCGTATTTCGTTGCCAATCTACTGTAATAGGTTTATGTAGGTATAAATTAATATGGTACGTACCGAGTTCCACCATGAACCGTCCATGTTTTCGGGTGTTTTTCGACTCGTGGAGTTCAAAGTATAAGTTTTATGAGGTTATGTTTCGGTCGCGGTTGCGGTTCCTATATGGTATTACAATTTTGCGGGGTTAGCCGTAACGAGGTCGGATCTCTGTTGTGGAAAAACTTGAACATCCAAAGCGACAGCAGAATGGCTAGCAACACGTTCGTCGAACTGTCGGTGTGATGCATACGGTTCGAGCACGCTGTTGTTTTATAATAATAATATTGTTATTTATTTGTTTACGGATATATTATAATAACGCTGCTTGAGCAAACATCCAGCGTGATGTTGAAGCGAATAAATAATGTGTTTTTAAAAAAATTGTCAGTTATTAATTAAAAAAAAATAATAACAGTAATAAATAAACCAGGTCGATTATTTTTTTTTCCCCCCGTCGCTCGAATATTATAATATATTGCCTATTGATTCGCCCACAGATATTATAACACTGACGACTAACGGTGAATTAAAAGCGCCATAAAAAAAATAATAATAACAATATTAATATTATCAACAAATTTACGAAAACTTGACCGCGTACGGTTTAGGACGGTGTGGTTAGGTTGATGAGCCAGTCGTTCGCTCGTCGGACTGTCGCTGCGGCGGCAAACGGAGAGTAACGGGTCGTGCGCACGCGGCAGTCGCTTTTATTCGCGCTGGTCCGTCGCCGCCGCCGCCGATGACGATGACCGACAGTCTAGCGCTCCGGGTGAGTGGTGCGACGAACAGCCAGGGGGGGGAGAAGGCACGGAAGGGTTTCCCGCAGGCGGCCGATTTTTTTTCTTCCGATTCGTAACGATAAGACTTCGCGTATTGTACTCGACGGCTTTGATGACGTCGTCGTGTGAAAAAAAAAATACGCCGACAATAATAATATGCGGTCGTCAACGCTCATCGCGGCATTTTTCGGACGTCGCGCAAAAGTAACACCACTAATAACAATATGATAAATTTAACCGGCGATTCCCGAACTTTTCCGTTGGGCTGACCAATAGTTTTGCAGATAAAAACTTTAAGGCCCACTAACTTGAGATACCTTCAGGTAAATAATATAAACACACAAACACAAAAAACATCTATAAAAATACGTGTGGCGAATATATATTATAATATGGGCTAATATATTGGTAATTAAGAAATCATACTTTACAAGAAAAATGTAAAAAAATATTTTTATAAAGGAATGAAGTTCATTTATTCCTTTCGAAAACAAGTGGTCCAAGTTTAAAAAACTCAATGCGATTTTTGACATTGTTTGTATACCACGAGAGTCAATATCAGAATTAAAACTGGACAGTTTTAGCCTCAAACACCTCAACAATGTCACAATTTATTTTTTCAAAAAAAAAAAAAAATGAAGTTGTAGTGTGTTTTCGATTGTTGGGATTATTACCTAATCTAACAAGAAATATACGGACGTTTAAAATGCAATATACAAATCTGGATGTTAATGCCAATAGGCATTAATTAGAATTCGCCAACCTTTGGCTTAGACCCTTGACCAGCGTCCTCAGCCCACGGTATGATGAGAACAGCTGATATATTAAACCTTATTCGATTTACAGTGCCGGGATCTATTAACACACCCTAGACGCCAGATGCTAATAGACACTATTATACATTCTATTGTTTCAAAAGGAACGCAGCCGAACTTTGAAGGGGGGAAATTTTTTTCGATGTAATAATTTTTGAAAATAGTTAAAAAATCAGCCAAAAGTTGTTCAATATCCTCGATCTATTGTGTTACTTCCCCTATATCTGATACTATTAATTTGATGACATCACATAGTCATTAATCGGTGCAATAGACTGTCGTCATCATTAAAAAAAATTTTGAATACTGTTCACGATAGGTGGATCACAGCCGTTGTAAGCGGGGATTTGGGAACGTGGAATATTTTCGTTCGTTTATCGTCAATCAATGTTTTAGTATATAATATTATGTAATTTTATACTGAATTTTGTTTATGTTATGTAATGTATTTAAATAAACGTCTGTTATGGCGTTAATAAATAAATAATAATAATATACCTACATAATTTACGGTAATAATTCTGCAAGTTCGGTAAAACATTTGTTCGATCAATATCGAAATTGAACATTTTATATTTGATTTGCTACTGCAAAATGCATAGGTAGTCACAATATAATTGTTCGTAACAATCGTAACGAATTTCATCATACATTTGAACTTTTATAAACTCTTATAAAAACCAAATTGTTACGATATTACATTAATTGACATTAATTACATTAACTTCGTATCGAAGTTTTTAATTTGTTTACACTGCTGATAAAATTGTATCCGCACGAAACCAAAAACCATAACAAACAACAATAATGGCTAGACATGGGTACGAATAACTCGAAAAACGACAGAATGTTTGAAAAATTGAACCGCGTTTATAGAAAATTACGCCAGATATACGTCTTATATCTGGCGAACATTTCAGGTCTATACGATTGTTTACCAAATTACATCAAAAACAAAATCAATCGTTCCGTTCTTAAATTACGTAATTTCGTAAATTTTTGGGCGTATTTTCGAGGGTTTTCGCCAGAAAAAAGTAAAAAAATAAAAGAAAAAATAACTTTTTTGTTGCACTAAATATATACTGCTTTTTTGGCCGGACAACTGTTTCGAGAAAAATGAAAATAAAAAAATCTTAGTAGATCATATAATGTTTAAAATCTTAAATGTGATTTCTCAGCGTTGGTTGATAACGATAATTTTTATCTAAAATATTATAATACTGTGCAATACCACCAAAATTCGTACTAGCTGAACTAACGCCTCCGTATTATACATTCATAATCCTATCGCGAATTTATTAATTTTTGCGGTTTAACAAATGTATACCTAGATAAGTATATGTATAATATCATTAATGTCACATTTTGACATGTGGTTTTTGTTACGTAGTTTTATATTCTTTTACTTTTTATATATTTAGTCGATCGTGTTAAAAAAAAAAAAAAAAAATTAAGACTGTTGAATTTTGCAGATTTGAGGCATTTTTACGTAGGACGTAGATAGAATAAATCTCAACTGTTGATGACCCCCTTGAAAAAAATATACTACCATACTACCACTTTTTGGTTTGCAGTGACAGTAATGAATCCGCTCGTCATTTATCGTTTTATTCGCCACAATCTTAATCATTTTTCCTTGCGTGACGCACCTAAAAAAATTTTGACTTCAAATGAAAAAATTACATCACAAAACCTACAAACACAACACTGTTGATATTCAAACACCTAGATTATTGCCATATTGCAACGTAACCACATTATTTTTTGGACTCTGGTTGAGATTTACCCGAATATAACTCGAAATACAAATAATAAACGGGGAACGTATCGAAAAATTACAACGTACTAACTAGACGTGTGCATTATATGTGTAATATTAAAACTAACTATTTTGGGTGAGTAGTCACTGTTCTTTTAAAACCGTTTTTTTCATTTCACACTTATTCTAAACGTGACTAGTATCTAAGTCACGCCTGTTTTATGATATTCTCATTTAAAAGTTCAGGAATTATCATAAGCAACGGTGAAAATACGATTGACGGCACATAAATATATTTTAACTATTAAGAATTTAATACGCGAAAAAATGACACGTTCGGAATTACGTAAAAACGATTTACACAAATTATCAGATGATTTCGATACACGCATAATTATAAAAAAATATTATAATTTTGAAAATCATCTGCACCCGTTTATTAAAATATCAAACGTGCAAAGTTCAGAAATGAAATTTCGCACCATTAGTTTACCATTGTTTTAGGTGGAAAGTTGGTGAGGTACGATACATACGTAGTGTAATTGTTTAATATTTATACTTGTACGCAACATTGCTAGTTTGCGAAAAGTTCAGATATGCACGGTTTGATATCCTTAAATTTAAAACTGTATTCATTTTTAAATACAATAATAATTTTCAATTGTCTGTATTTTTCGTCTCAAATTTTTGAGCATATTTATAGAGACCAAAGAGTTTTATCCACATAAATCGAAAAATAATACGTGAATTAACGTGATTAGCCATGATAATATTATTACAATAGATTGTCTGAGGAGTTTGGTCACGTGTATTTGGCGCGCAGATAAACATGGAAGGGGTCATAGGATATTTGTATTATTGTGGCTGGTATTAAAAATAAACGTCTCAATGACAACCGGACGCGACCAGAATAAACGTTATACTTTAATAATAATAACACAATATTATTAGGTAATACAAAATATTGTTGATAATACAAATATTATTAAACCACAAGAATTAGAGATAATGGGGTGATTTAAAAAAAAGATATTTATATTAGAGGCCTGTGTGGACCGACAATTCCTGACACAGCCCGGTATTTTATCGGCGTGGAAAAGCTCGGCGCGATTTAACTTTTTTTTTTTTTTTTTTTTTCCAAAGTCCAGAACAGTTGAAAAATATTTTTCGAAGCTCGAATTGGTTCGGATTTTTTCTCATTATTTTCGAAAAACTGTATTTTCATAGGACTTGTGGTATTAAAGTTGAAAATAAAAATGTAAAAAATAGTCAGCACGTTTTCATAAAAAAAAAAATTGGCCTGTCTCAATCCGTAACAAATTTAAAATTTAAAAACCTAGCCCGACCCTTGCAAGTCTTTAATATATGTTTATATACATAAATGTCAAAAATAATCATCGAATTCGAAAAACTGGTTACTTTTTTCTTAAGTTCGTAGCTTGTTTGCATTTATTCCGCCATCGAACGTTTGATACAAACGATTATTTTATTTGAAAGGTGATTCCAATGGAAATTTCAAATAATTACACTCCTGAGTGTACTCTCCGTGTTCAAAAGTATATTAAAAAAAGAAGGGATACCCATAGGAAAATAAATCATTACTATAAAACCAATATTGATGAGTTCTGTGCTCGTACAATCATATGTAATTTTAACTAAATACTCAGACTTTTTAAATTTTATCGATACATAAATTTGATCAACACTAAATAATTTTTAAGATTCCGAGTGTATGGAAGAAGATATCTCTGTACGTTATTTAATGTCTGCTATTTTTTTCATTGAGAAAATCAAACGTTTTAATTAGTCGAATTAATTACCTGGGTTCGAATGTATACGTAAATGAAAAGCTAAATATTTTTTTAATCTGATAATGTTTTAAATCACCGTTGACACGCGTTTTCTCGACATCACGTTACAGCACGGCAATCTCGATTTTATGTGCGATTGTTGTTATAATAATTTGTTTTCATTATGTCCATTGAAGAAAATGCACATCTATATTGCATACAATTACTTCGAGTCAGCATTTCGGTCAAATAAACAAACATTATAACACATGGGATTATATGCATACCGATGCACAATTATTGAATTTTTAAATTATACTTAATCATCTTTATAAACATGATTTATCATAATACACTCAGTGTTAGAAATCGGAAATTGTATGAATAATTTTAATGTTTTAATTTAGTAATGATTAGTTGGTATTTTTGATGACTCGATAATGAATAATATAAATTAACGCCTTTATTTTGTTTGGTTTTATTTTTTAAGGAAAATTCCTGTAGTTAAGCGATGTTCGGAATCCGACATCCGTTCTTTCGACGCGGTTTA